GTTTCAGTTAATCACTAGTAGCAGATTTATTTTCACTTATGCTTTGTATAACTTAAAAAAACATTATTGTAGTTAACATCAGATTTTTATTTATACCACCTAAACCTTTATCATTTTTTTGCTTGTGGTTATATCTTTTTTTAATTTTTATTATTTTGGTAGTTTTATCTAAAACAGCCATATGATAACTACAAAGTTAAGATATGTTTCAAATAGATATAGATTTGTCATTATGTTATACTGTACTGTAGTTTTTATACACGCCACAACTTTTTAGCTAGCTTTTTATCAACTTTTTTATTGATTTATTCTTATGCTTAGCAAGCTACAAAGTTAATATATTTTGCTACCAACATATTGTTTTAAAATAGTAAACTAAAAACTAACAATATGTAGCATCAGATTCAAACATCATTGCAAAATGAAATAAATTTTTTTGGAGTTAAAAATAGGGAGGGGGTCAGGATTTTATGAAGTCCTTTTCTAAGGGGTATTGGGAAAAAGGACAACCCATGACAAAGGAGGGGGGAGGGGGTCAAAAATTGGCTAAAAAATGGTGACTTCCTTTATGGATGGCCCCTATACACATATTTTTTATTTTTACAAAAAGCTTTCTTGAGCTTGATTTCTAATAAATATTTTCAGTTGTTTACTTTCCAGTGAACAATTGAGTATTATTTATAACAACTTTTCAACTATATCAAAACTTTTCACTGCATATTTTTGGTAAATACTTTTAATTTTGTTTTATTTTATTTTTAGTTTTAATAGTTTTGAATAGTAGGAACTTTAAGGAAAGCACTAAGTGACATGCCAAAAGGGTCCAATTTTTTTTTGACTTATATTATTCAACTTAAATTTTTCAATCTTTATATTATTCAATCTTTAAGATTTTTCAAAATTTGCTAGTGGTTATTAAGTATCATTAAGTAAATCAAGATTTCTAAATTTCTCACTTTGGTTTTCATAATTTTTTGTTTATTTCAATTCTATAATTTTATTTCAATTCTAAATAAATATAAAGGAATAAAATACAACTTTTTCAATTGATATACTAAGTACTGTAATTTTTATTGAACCATTCCTCTCCAAGCTCTTTCAGTTTTTTGATAAGATTTTTACCTTTAAGGTCAACAAAAAGTAATTAAAGGTCAACAAAGAGTATTAAAAGTAGGGGTGCACCGATGCCTACTTTTGGCCAATGCCGATAGGTACAGGCCGATGCTGATGCATCGGCATCTGCCCTGAAACTGGATATATGATGGAAATATACACCTGAATGGAAATGCCACATTCCATTCATGTGACGATGAAAGCAACATTTTAAAATTGTTATTGTTGAAGTTTATTTTCCATTTATTTTTTTATTGTTATCTTGACAATTAGAGCAATTACTTCAATTGAAAAGCTTGTTTTATAAATATTTACTTTCGTCATTTTGTTCGAATTAGAACGATTTTGTTTTTTATAAAGAATGAATGGAAGATTTTAATGCCGTTACTTCTAATAATTGGCAAGTTTTTAGCAAATGTTTTTACGAAGTTAAAATATAAAACAATACTTATTTTAAATGTTTATCTATTAAACGCTTTTAATTTAATAATATACTTTTTTATTATTTAATTTTAATATAAATGTAATGAAACATTTTGATTGTAAAGAATAACTGAAAAAGTTTCAAAAAAAACTTTATTTAAAGCAATTTTCTCTTCCAATTCCCATTTATTCAAAGTATTGTTTTAATTAAACTTTTATTTCTCTCATCTAAAAAAGGAAGAAACAACGCAAAAAAAAAATTTCTATACAATGTTATTCATTCAATTCAATTCAATTGATGTTTAACTTTTCTTTCTCTTTAGTTCTACTTTTTTATAAAAATAGTGCGCGAGGAAATAAAAACTTTTCTTTCTTAACGTAGAATTAAATTTAGAGATATTATTAAATTAGAATTAAAGAAACAATGAGTAAAGCAACGAAAAGTCCAATCTGGGACTATTTTGATATTGATGAAAATAATCGCTCAAAAGCAATTTGTAAATTTTGAAAAATGAAAATATCAAGAGGAGGAACATCTGGCAAAAAAATGGCAACATCTAATTTAAGAAGGCATATGAAAGCAAAACATATAAAAGTTTTCCAGAAAGTAGAAGATCTAAAATGTTTCAAAAAAATTAACACAGAAGAAAAAAATAATATTGCATCTACTTCAACCAGTAAAGAGAATGATAATAGCAAAGTATCAGTTAGCAACAGTGTTACTGTTATTCTAGATCAAAAACATCAATCTAAGCTTGAGGAAACTATTAATAAGCATAGAAAATGGACTTCAAGTGAACAAAGAGCTCAAAAAATAGCTATGCTTATCGGAGAAATGATATGTGTAGTTATTCAGCCGTATTCTTTAGTTACAGATCAAGGATTTAAAAAACTATTTATGCATCTTGAACCAAGATATACCATGCCCTCTATTAAACATATGACTGAAACAGTTGTTCCTATACAAATTATGAATGATGTAGCAAAAGCAGATTTTTTGAGTTTTACCACTGACGGATGGACTACACATCACAATGATCTAAGCTTTTATTCATTAACAGCACACTAGATAAACTCAGAGTTTAATTCTATGACAGCTGTGCTACAACTTAAAAAAATAACAGGCTCTCATACAGGTGTAAAAATATCAAAATTTCTAAAAGACTCTTTAAATGAATGGAAAATACCAACTAACAAAGTGTACTTTGTCCTCTCTGACAATACTGCTAATATGAAATTAGCCATAAAAGAAGCTGGTTTAGAAAAAAATTCTCGAAGTTGTGTAATCCACACTCTTCAGCTTTGTATAACCGATAAGCTTTTCAAACAGCAAACAATTATAAATGATCTTATAGCTAAGTCTAGAAAAATTGTCACACACTTTCATCATTCTTCGTCTTCCATGGATATGCTACATGAAATTCAACAACAGCTAAAGTTACCCCAACATTCACTTATACAAGATGTAATAACAAGATGGAACTCGACATTTTACATGCTAGAAAGACTAATTGAACAAAAAACTTCACTAACATTATTTTTTATTAGAAATCAAAAATGTAATGCCTCTAATCTTAATGAAGACCAATTGTTATTAGCTGAGACGTTTATCTTAGTTTTAAAGCATTTTGAGGTGGCTACACTAGAGATGAGTGAAAATAGGGAAAATGGAAGCGTACCTATGCTTCAGAAAATGCAGGTGAAATAAAAACTATAATAGAAGAGTTGAAAAAAGATTTTATCTTAAGGTTTTCCAGCTATAAATATAACAAAAACTTGAACATGTCTACAGTTTTAGATCCAAAATTCAAACTTAGTTATGCCATATCAGATGAGAAAAAATACACATTAAAATCAAATATTCAAGAGAAATACATGAACCTAAATAAAACTGATATTACAGATTGCCTTTTACCTACCGACAACTTAACTCAATCAGATAATGAAACAAACACTTCATCTGAATCAACCCAAGAACCTAGCTCTCCACTCAAAAAATTAAAAATGGCAGAAAACATATACAATTTTTATCAAGTTTCAAAAGCACCTCTTGACACTGAATTAACAAAATTAACAAAAGTAAAGAACTGTAAAAAACTTTCAACAGAGACACAAATTTATTTAGAGAAAAAGGAAAAAACGTAAGTTAAAATGATTTTTTTAAATGAGAACTTTGATAACTTTTTGATCTTTTCTAATTTATAATAAATTATTATAGATAAAACTAAATTCTAAATTATCATAAACAAATAAAAATTGAAAAATAAAATGAAATAAAATGATATTACTAATATTCATTAATATTTAACAACTTTTAATAATAAAAATTCGTACTTTATTTTAGTTTAGTTTTTATATTTTTTGTTTACTTACTTTTTTTTAGAACTGATGAAATAAACTTTTACTTATCACTGCCTAATCTGCATCAAAAAGAATGTCCATATAAATGGTGGGGAAATTACAAAAATACATGTATAAAGAAACACTCTAGCAGCAATAATATTTTAGACCTCTCATACCTTGCCAAAAAATATTTAGGAGCTCCGCCTTCTTCTGCGTTCAGTGAAAGATTGTTTAGTACTGGGGGAAATATTTATGAATCGACACTGTCCAGACTAACTGCAGAACATGGAGAAAATCTAGCTTTTGTGCATGCGAATTGGAAATTTTTTGGAAAAACGGAAACAAAAAAATAGATTCACAGTTTTATATAACATGTTTTATTACTTTTCATAACATAATAAAAATTTATATTTATTTTTAACATGACGCAAGTTGGTCTATTATGTTTTAAATGTGTTATACTTTATGTTTATATTTTTTAAATGTGCATTTCTTGATTTTAAACTTCTTTGTAGAGTTTTGGATCCATAAGTTATATAATTAATGTACTAAATTATAAGAAAACTCTAAAAAAGTAGAGAGCCCTGTTAAAAGCACTCAAAAATTTTTAGTTTAGTGGTTGCATATATGCCTATATAATAACTTATTATTATTAAGTTAGACTTATACATTGTAATTATGTTTATGGCGTAATTCTATGTTTGGATATAATATAGAAACACAGAATCAAAAATAAAATTTCAAAAATATAATAATAAAACATTATGGTATCCAACTTCACACTTAGTATCAGTTATGTTAGAAAAAAAAATAAAAATGGTTTCGATCCATTTTCTTAAACCTTGTTATATCATCTTTGTTTGTAAATAATTTTTCGTTTAAAAAAAAATTTAAATTTAAAATTTATTTTATATATATTTTAAATTATATTTATTCTATGATATTTTTTGTTCTATTTTGTAGAATTTTTTTTTTAAAGTACTTTCATTCTTTTAAATATTTTTTTTTTTTTTTTTTTGAATACTTTTTTATTTTCATACTTTTTTAAATACTTTTTATTCTATTTTGATGCTTTCAGGTGAAAGAAAAGTGTAAATTAAAAAATTTATTTCAAATTTTAGCATCTGATACATTTGGAGTTATTCGCTTCAATGGCAAACAAGTTTATCAAAATCGTTGGACAAAAGAAAATTCTAAAGTTGTTTGTACAATGTTAAAATATAACTTTATGCATGAAATGACTATAGATAAAGATATACAATTTTATAATGGTTTTGAATACAATAATGAAGCTTTTAGCTGCAATGGAGATGAACAGTCTTTAAGTGATTGCAGACGAGAAAATTATGTGTCTGTTATAAAACAACCTGCAGCAGCTGCATGTACTAATTGGTCGGATGATTTGTTAGATGAATCATTAGATTCTATATTGTTAACAGGAACAAACATGAATATAATTAGTTCTCTTAACTATTATTTGACAGATTTAAAACAAAGATTTGGGGAATGGAGTTGCAGTTCAGTTAATCCTGATAATCAAAACATCTGTTCTGTTGATGATGTCATATCAGAAGCACTCTCAAATCTGCAAAACCTTGAAAATGAAACTGCAAAAAAAGCTATCAAACTATCTGATAAACATAACTTACAAAAACTTCTTGAGTTTGAGTTTCTTAAAAAAAGTTTTGACTATTTAAAAAATGAACTCTTTAAGACAAAGACAAGTATTGGCAAATATTTTAGAAATTTAGCTGATTTCGATAATCAACTTGCTAACCACGATTTGACATATGCGCGTGATATGTGGGATAAAGCTAACAACATTATTAAAGAAAAAGAAGATAATCTGCTTAATTCAATACTTGAGTTACGGGATAGCGCTATAGCAACAGAGGCTGGTGATTTAATACGCCAGGTTGCAAAGCTTACAATTCAAATCCTTGGGCGGTTAAATCCAATTAAATGGATCACCGATACAGATGAAGGAATAATTGGACCTATTGAGACTTCAACTGAAATAGCCAGAGCTACTGCAAACTTGGCAACTATAGCAATAGTTTATTCTGATAATATTGGAAAATTAAATGTTATTTTGGAGAAATCAAATGAAAAGCGTTCAGAAAATAAAGAAACCTTTACTAAAATTAATGATATTTTAAATAAAGCTAAATCAAATATCAAGTTAACCCTTGCTGATTGTAAAACATTTTTAGAATTGTATGGTGGCTATACACCTGCTATTGAACAAAGTGATATAGATGCTTATTCTGGTATTGTTGAAGTTATGGTAGATACCTTTATTGAAAAAATGTCTGATCCTCAATCATTTGTTGGCATAATTGCAAGTGCAATTGGTGAAAGTAAGGCAAACAATATAAAAATGGCGCTAAAACTCCTTTTTGGTCAGTATGAAGTAGTTAAAGAAAAGCAATCAGAGATAATGGATGCTTTTGCAAGAAGTGCAAGATCTATGTTAGCTAAAAAAAGTGCAGAAGATATTATTAATGATTCTGGTAATACTGATTTCCAAAAAAAGCTCAAAATGATAAAAGGTGTTTATCTAACACGATTACAAAAACTAAGATTGTATACTGATCTATGTCACATATACACTTACAGAAATCATGGTATGCAGACAAGTGATTGCACTCAGATACTAATGGATCCAGATATCAGTGATTTCAGATTACTATCTTACAACTTAATGCCAGATATGTGTAGTAATGCTGAAACAATTTCAAAAGTTGTTTTAATTCCATTAAACTTAGAAGGAGACATTACGAAAGGAATACTGTCATCTAATGAGTTATTTCGATATCATCAGTCAGCAGATCCTAAAAAAAACGAATGGGTTACAAGCGGAACAACAAGTTTTAAAATTCCAAATAAGCAATGGCTGGTAAATCATGGCTGGATTTCCAGTGAAATAAAAGAACCAATTTTTTTAAAGAAATTAGAACTATTTTTACCCCCTGAGACAAAAGATGTTACATTTTCTTACGAAGTAGAGATGCAATTGCAAACCGTAACTTTGAGAAATGTAAAATACTCATTTGAAAGCAAAATTAAAAATAAAATATCATACAATTCTGAAGACTGTCTAAAACCTGAAAATAACCCATATAAAATGACAGATTGTAGAAAATTGTTACCAAATCTCTGTATTCTTACTTCTGGGCAAGTAGATGGAGGTTTTCTTCCTGTATTAGAGGACTCAAAGTTTTCAATATCCTTGCGAAGTCGAACAAAGTTAACTAAGTTATATCCTTTAGATATAATCTACCTAAAGGCAAACGTAGAATTTTGTTCAAAAAAACAAGAGCGAACAACAAAAAGTGAGGTAAGATGAATATTTTTAGTTCAAAATTGTAAATTATTTATATCAGTAAGGGATCGTCCATAAAGTACGCATGCTAAGAAGGGGAAGAGATGGTCTGGAAGTGGCGTGTATGAGATGGGAGGGTAGTGGGTCAATTATAAAATTAAGGAGACACTAAATTAAAAAAAATATTATGAAATGTTGGGTAAGTAGGTTAAAAACATAGGTAGGTGGAGAGTACTCAAAAAAATGTATAGCAATATGTGGGGGAGGGGAAAGGAGCTCAAAATAAAAGCGTACATACTTTATGAGTGACCCCTAAAAAGTTGTGATTGATAAAGTAAAATGGTAGTTAAAAAACAAAATAAAAATATATAGGGGAGAGTTGCCATAATTGGAACAATTTAGAAATAAATATTTATTAACCAAAGATGGCTTAACTATGAAAACAAATTGATTTGATTAATACAAACAGACATCCCTACTTTACTTTTAACCACAATTTGACTTAATTGATTGCACTGTTATTAGAAATAAGTTTTTTTGAAAAGTTTCCATTTTGTTCCCATAAAGGCAACTGGTTCCCTAAATTGGAAAACTTTGATTCCTTAATCAAAATGGGTTATTTTTTTAAAAAAAAAAGACCATTAAAATCAACAAAAGTTGGTTAAAAATAATTTTTATCTTCACAGTGAAAGTTTAATCAGTTAATTCAAAACTTATTATAGAATTAGTATTACCCTGACAACCTTCAAGTCTACAAACAAAAATTTGTGTAAAAGCTTCAACTGTTATGACATTCTCTTGATTTATTGATTAAAAATCACTTAAAAATTAAATTTAAAAAGTATTGTTTTTAAGGTTTATAGTTGTTTCTAAGTATTTTTTATTCTTGAACTATTTTTACAACCCTTTGATTTTATTACTGATTAGGTAAGAAAAACTTTAATGTTCCAATCAAGGAAACTTTGGACTATTTTGTTACTATTATATCACTGCAATAACATGCTTGCAGCAACTATCGAGCACGACTATTTTCCTAATCGCAATTACTGTCACCGCGAAAGAGGATTTTTGTCTGCGGAAGATGCCTGGGCTAGCTTTTTAGTCATAAGTCAGTTATAAATCCATGCATAGGTGTTTAATCCATCATGGTTTTCTGGAGTATGGCTGGGCTGGCTTGGTTTAGTTCAGAGACAAATCTTTTACGCTGGTTACTAACAATACAAGACTCTACTGAACGACATTAACAGCACAGACTTACACATTACACCTATACACCCTTATGCACATACAGCCTGTTTACATCGTTTGCATGCTTTTTGTTCTTTCATAGATAAACTATCTTTGTTTGAACTCATCCTTATTTAGATAATATTTTCTTTTAATAGATATGTTATTGAAATGTAGATACAGATTTGTATGTTATCTATATGTGTTTATCATGTGTGATTGAATTTTTCATTAAAGGATTCATATGCATATACATATAAGCATAAGAGCGATTCTTATAAACTAGCGGCTTTCGACTTGTTTTTATGAAGTATGTTTTTCCTTGTTATTTTGTTATGGTCTCAAAGTTACATTTAATTCGGACCGTAGAGAAAACTTTATTTTTCGGAAATTTCGATTTAGATATGGTCTCAAAGATTCTTTTAGTTCGGACCGTAGAGAAAACTTCACTTTTTAACAATTTTTTTTTTCCCGCTTTCTACGTCGTTTTTATATCACGATTTATATCATTGTTATGATACCCACAACTAATTTTTTAACCACTCATTTGGCTTAAAATTATCTGGTTTTATTACAATATTTATTTAGTCTTATTGCTATATTTATTAATATTTTACTTATCTCCTGATTTTCATATTATTACTGTTTACAGAAACTTTCATGTCATATTATCTTGCATCCATTACTCAGCTTTGTTTTAATTTTCACATGCACAATTTTTATCTTTATTATTATTCAGAGAATATTTTTATATCCTTCATTTAATGTTTACATATATGTCGCTTACATTTTTAAGGTTTTTGTGCAACGTTCTTTTTCGCTATCATATATTATTCTATTATTGTTATGATTTTGGGTTTCGCGGGTTACTCATTTTCCTACACTTTTGATTGGTTATCATATTTCGAATGAGGTATCTATGACAGCGTTAGAGTTTATTTAAGGGTATTGTTTTGTTTATTAAAAAAAAAAATTTAATGAGGTATACTGCTTTCTGATTATCTTGGGCTTGTTTATGCTAATAATACCTATATGGTTTTATTTCTTAAAATAAATTGATTAATATTTTTATGTTTCTATTAGAATTTTAATTTATTTTGTTTTCATGTTTTCTTTTGGTGGTACTTTTGGTGGTACTATACTTTTTATATCATATCATCAAAAAAAATATTGGTGCTTTACAAATTTGGGGTTGGTTGGGTTTTGGCTATTTGTAGTGAGTCCTGTTTTACTGCAGTATGGAATAGACGTAAGTCGCGGGGTAAAGCATAAGTGGCGATGACGTTTGTCTGAAGGGATAAACTAGTTATAAATGCTGATCCTCATCGAAACGCCAGTAATAATAGACGCGACTCTGAGGAGATGTTTATTACTTATCACTACACTAATTATGTTTACACATTAGCATTAATATTTTTTTTCCATTATTAGTCCTTTCATTGTTGTTAGCATATTTTTAATTTGTTGAATGGTTTTTTGTTTTACAAATTGTTGACTGGTTATGTATTTCTTGTATATTTTAGTTCATATTGGTATTTATAAAACAATTTTTTTATTTTTTATTTTTTATTTTTTTATTTTTTATATATATATATATTTTTTTTTTATTATTATTAATATTTGTTTTTATTTTTTTTAATTTTTTTTATTGTTATTATGGTTGAGTACTGTTTTGGTTGTATAGCTTGTCTTATTTATTTTTAAATATTCCTCTATTAATCTTTATTTTTGTCTTGACAACTGTCAAAATATGCTTTGTCTAATAAATAATTCTCCTTTATTCTAATGTACTTCATTTCTTCCCTCAGGCATTCACTGCTCATGTGTGACCATTCGGCGAATTTTATATGCCAAAGTTTTTAAATACTATTTTTACAACCCTTTGATTTTATTACTGATTAGGTAAGAAAAACTTTAATGTTCCAATCAAGGAAACTTTGGACTATTTTGTTACTATTATATCACTGCAATAACATGCTTGCAGCAACTTATAAAAAAAGTTTATATTGTTATTTTGCATTTTAAATCACATCGAATTAAATACAAAAAACTGTATAACTTATAGTACCATGGTTTACCTACCGCAATCTTTAGTGTGAACGCAAAATTAGATCACTGAAAAAAATGACAAATTTTGAGTCAAAAACAAGTTGACCCAAAATTTCAAAGATTTTTTTTACAAAAAAACCTCTAAACCTGTCTCTTAACATTACAAATCAAAAAACAACAAAAATTGACAAAAAAAAGTTATTTATTTCAATTTTAAAACACTTTAAAAAATTTTTTGCAAGCACAATAATTGTTCAATTTTAAAGATAAAATAAGCAATACATATACAGAATAAATTTCAATAAATATATTCTTGCATGATTAAATAAGAATTTCAAGAATATTTTTCCCTGATAAAAAGTTTAGCAAATAAATGTTGTTCATTGAACTTTCATAAAGTTAAATAATAAAAAAATAATTCTTTTAAAAGAATTTTAATAAGAATAATAATCGTTTAATAAAAATAAATATAACACAAAAATAATTTTCAGCAAGCTTAAGATATCTGAACATTTCATTCTTATTTTTAATGTGAATTTTTGAAAAATTTAGTTAACCATTTAATAAACCAACTAAAAAAATTTTATAGTAATTTATGATGAAAAAAAAACTTTTATATAAAAAAAATAAGTAAACAAATTATTTAGTAGTCTTTATTGGAAAAAAAAATTTTGATGAAAAAAATAGTTTTTAGATTTCTTAACTAAATTCTACAATGAGGACATATACTAAAACTCTTAGGAATTAAACACGCTTGAATAAATTAAAAAATCTGTAGACGGCGAGCTTCAAGTAAAACATTAAAGTTAGTTTTTCTTGGTATACGTTTATTTTTTTGTTTTACTCAAAAAAGTTCAGCCCAAACATTTTTTTTTATCATTCTCTTTAATATGAACACAACTTGTCTCAGCACTTTAGGGTCCCTTTAAACAGTATTTATATATTTTAAAATATATTTGGTTATATTATTAAACAATTCTTGGTGACATGATCCTATGATCTTCTTTGAGTTTTCATGTTCTTATACTTAATATTCAACAACATAAGTGATGAACATTAGCACTCCCTGATTTTTAAGACTAATCTGAAAAGGGCAACCAGCCGATATTTAATATTTTTGGCATAATGAACAATGATTAGTTGCCCTCCTTTAGCAGGTCTTTAAAATGATCTGTGATCCACTGATGTCTGACATCTATTTCGATCCCTGTATATATAGTTCTTTGACTTGTTGGCTTTAAGAGTACAGAAAGTAAAAATTTCATTTGACAAGAAATTATGTTTGACCTTCAATATTTCCATGTTGTCTAAATGCTAAAACTATTAAATTAATTATAAATAAAACTTTTTTAAATTACCGAAAATGTGTTTTTAATGTGTTTGTCCTAATTTTTGAAAATGTTAAGTTTTGTTTTTATTTTTCAATTTTATTTGTTTTAATTTATCTTTATTGAGTGCAAAGTGTACATAAATTAACTGAAATAGGTAAAACATGCAAGAACATACATCAACTGAAACAGTTAGAACATGGGAGGAGCGTACATACATCAACTGAAATTTTAATTCCAAAGTGTTTTAGAATATGACATCATTTAGTATATGACATTGGGCTATTATTAGATAGCGTAATGAGTATTATATGTGCTTTGAGTCAAGTTCTTTAACCAACTTATAAAATGACTAAAGTATCAAAAACTATTAAACGCAAAAAACCATCATCATCACCAAGTTCTCTAAAT